CTTTGTAGAATTGGGTAGGTTCTGGGTTTTCATAAATGATCTGATTTGGTCTAGTTTCATAAGGCACACCATAGGTTATAAACCAGGCAATGTGGTTATACAAAAAAATACAACCCTTAAGTAAAGAAGAATGGACAGTTATTTCTATTTTTACGTATTATATATTATATTTGAAGTGTTCTTAATTGGCAATTGTTAATATACCAATTAGAGCGGTGGAACGTATGTGCATCAAGAAAATAACGAGGGTTATAGATTTAATTACCTTAAAACTCGTTAGCAGAATGTAATTGGCGTTACTAAACACGGCGGTGTTTTATTTTATTATTGTTCGTCATTAGTGTACAGGAAGCAGAATAGATAATTAATTAAAAGATTTAATATTTGATTATTTTTTCAATCATTATTTGTTATTATATTAATATTTATTATATTTTAGAGTAAAATTTAGAAATTCTTACTGGAATCAGAGTAAAGACAGAGTCCTGAGATAAAACAGTTTATTTTACCTAGTGCCTTTTAAACATGGGGATATTATTCTGTGATACAGAAAAAAAACCTGCCTATTTTAAATTAGTTTGCATCAAAATACGATAAAAAGTCATTAGGTCGCCGAAGATAAGTCATAAAACTGTGTACGTAATTTTTTCTGTAAATAAATACATAACTACACGAACAAAATTACATTTTTCTACATTGAACTGTAACATAATAATTAGTTTGGAGTGATTGTAGACGAGGTAAGAATGGTCAATTAGTTGTGACACGCAACAGTTAGCGGGTTCGATGCCCAGCCACTTCTCATGCACGAAGGGCACCGGTCGTTGTGTATAGCTACCTCTTAAAAGCAACCTCATAAAAAACAGCAAGAAGTTTTAAGAAATAGGAATGTTTTGATCGAGTACCTAACTGATTTTGTGATTCTTTATGTAATACACTACATTATTTCAAATATACTATTTATAATGTAAGTAAAAAATAATTTTAATAAATTTAGTAATTGCCGTGTATAATTAAGGTAATACATGAACATCTTGTTGTCCAAACGCGTATTCGAAAACAATTGTAGGTACAGGAAAAAATTAAAATAAAAAAATCTTATTATATAATATATATATATTTTATATATAAACATAGATACTTCAGTATCAACTACATATTTCAGCAGCTAAGAGTAGTTTGCTTGTATGTTGTGCCACTTGTGCCCCAGTTTGAACAATGTGATAAGGGAGTAGAATTATTCGATGCGGCATGAGAATAGATACATTCAGTGATGTTTATGGTTTTGTTTACTTATCATTGCTTGCTATTACAAGTTGAAAAAAAATTGATCTTCTAACATAATGGATGTAAACAACGTCATTAATTAAGGTACACACACACAGCAACTGCCAGTTCATTACTACTGGCATCACTACATAGCTGTCAGAATTCGGTTGTTCAAAGCTTCGACAAAGAGTTGAAGATCTCACCTGTCCAGCGCACTACATTCGAGATCAGAGGCGCCGGACCTCGCCCCTAGCGAGAGACCCTTTGTGGAAAGATTCCCAAAGCGCCAGTGAGCGGACTTTGATGTCGAGCCCGGCAGGTAATTTGGAAAAACGTTATTTAATTAACTTTCGACAAGTCGGGGTAATCGCGTTACAAAGCCGCTTGCTGAACGGTCAAGTCTTTGACTCGGAGCGGGGGTGGCCGCAACCGAACTTGATTTTTACGCCAAACATACCTACCATAAAGCGCTGTCATTTTCAGGTGCTCTCCAATTAACATCGCGCCTTTGACCACCACAGGCCGCACAAACAACTACCGCCTCGTTATAACCGGTAACTGCGTAGTTTTATTAAAGGGTTTTGTAATTGAGACACCTTTGTGAATTTCCACTGTCGAACATGCATTAACGATAAATGTGTAAATGGACTTGACGTTAACGGACGCAAAATCCTGTAAAGGGGTCGGACAACAGTTTTATGAGTTGCCGAAATAAGTTAGGGCGTATAAACTTTGGGATTTGGAAAGTGCATTTAGTGGAAGCGCCGTAAGCAAGCGGTGTTCGAGTGTGCAATGAAAAGGCGCCCGGGGCGGTCCGAGCTCGGACGTTGTTGGTCGTCTCTACGAGATAATTAGCTCTGTGAACTATCATACAACAAGATGAGCGTCACAATTAGAAAGCTTTAGACCGTTAATGAATATCGCCAGTTTTACTCGTGACTGAGTTTTGCAAATGTTTCATAGATAAGTTAGTGTTCATTAGTTCATTCAGTTAGTTGAGCTGGGATTAGTTTTACAATAAAAAGTAGAATATTGTAGAACGTAGTTAAAGTTGCGTGTTCCAAGTGAGTGAGCCATCTGTTCGCATAAACAAAGCCGGGCTTTGTATGCTGTTCATTGAACAGCTTAATTGCATTTCTTCACTTCTCTTTGCGGCTTTCACACGTCTCATAATTGAATAATTTTTAAAGTTTACCACCATGACTATTGAGTAATACGTCTTAATGACAAATAAATAAATGAAATTAAATATCTGACAGGTTATTAATGCAATAAAAAAATATACGACTTTTTAGTCATATATTATTTTAGCATGGCGACGTCTAATACAGCCGTGTAAATAATCACTATAATTTAAAAAATCGTAGCTAACAATACTATATAAGATATAGGCAAGTAGTAACGATAATTGTAACATTATAATTCTACTATTAATAAGTCGAGTATAAATGGTCTGGGCGCACTGTCTTGTTCGTCTGCCACTGCTACGTTTATGGTTCGTGAATTTTTAACTACCTTTAAAAGGCTTGTAGTGCTTTTTCCAAGTGCAGACATTATTGCACCAACAATACAGTCACCATTTTATTTTTTTAACCGATATCAAAAAATGGGCACTCACCGAGTCGATTCATTTAATGTGTACGTTACAGTAATAGTTTATAAATGCAAACTACATATTTATACGAAATACTGTACCAAAATATAATAGTATCGAAGGAAAAATCAACATTTCAAGTATAACAGCTTCTGTAACACTCTCCTCTAAGAATAATAGTAACAAAAAAATAAGTTTTGTATTTTTGTACTTTACATGTATTTTTATACAGGAATTAACTGAACTCTCTATCATTTTGTCTTTGTATTATCTTGTCTATTGTTTTGAAAGACTTTAAAGACGTAAACAGAAAGTTCATTAAATTTCCGTACAAAGTTGTAATAAATTTACCTTTCTTCAGAGGGGGGTTATTCTTAGTAGATAGCTAGAATATAATAGTTGTTACCGTACTAACAGTACGTACAATAGTTCAGTTCAGTGTGCGACATGACACGACGTGTCAGTCGTTTTACGAGCCGTGTTACACTTTTATCACCGTGTCGTAGTCTACAATAGCAAATTAGGTACGCACTTTTACACAGAAAACTGGCACAGTTAATTAAGTCATATCCGACGGAAAATTACTTTTTATCAACATGTAAAGCCATAAAAATGTAAATTCTACTATTGTGAAGTTATAATTATCGGATAGGTTTGTAAAATAAACAAATAGGTTCACGTTTTCGTTATATAATACATATCGTCAGTATTCAGTAAAAAAGAATTAGCTTCTGAAATTTTATATACATTTTATTTTTTACTACCAAGTTATATGTATAGAGTATTACATTTATTTTCAATGATATTCGCTTAGTTTCACAAATATTATAATAAAATAAAGGTAATAAATAAACATTCAGGATTCGGATTTAGATTTCCTGAATCAGGTCAGATTTTGTAAACAATTATCTGCCTGTACCGCTGTTTCACCAGTAGCTTGCCTTGTAAGATGTGTTTTATTCGAAGGATGATATAAAGTAGTGAAAATGGTGGTACATTTTAGTGCAATGCAATGCAGGCTTCACATGATAACGTGATTCCCTTGGTGGTGTTCATGTATACAGACGACAGTTGCCACAGTTGTTCAGTAATATAAAAAACAGATATCTGAGAACCTGAGTCATATCTGATTGTATCAAGATAGTTGTTAGTTAATTATTTCACTTTGTATATTATAAGTACCTACCTAGCAGTAATGCGGCAAACAAGTGCCGCAATCCAATGTCAGTCAAAGCTCGCTCGGTGGCCGGTAGGTTATAATTAACGTAATTAATTAAAGTATAACCTAATCAAGAGTTAGTCACGACATGCCAGTGTTAATAATATACCGACAGAGGTCAGGCGTGGTGCCGCCCACCCGGCCTTTGTAATCGACATCGCGGGCTATATTGAAAAATGCATCAGCTCGGATCGAATTAACTGATTCGAGCAATCGATACCACATATCGATTTAATCAATTATGTCGAGTAGTTGTTATGAGTGCGCAGAATACATGTACAATTGTCTATTGGTTTTAAGAATAAATGTATTAATTTTATGACCTTCATTTTATAAAGATGAATGATGTGTATTTCTTATAGAAAAATTGTGTTTGTTGATTACTTTATGAAATACTATAATTAATATATGATATATTGTAGTTAAATATCATTATCAGTACCATATGGTGAGAGGTTTCATACCCGCTTTAATATAAAAGTTTGTATTATACACATTTTTATATAGGTAAATGTGACTGTTATTGGCTTGTTTGCTATTTAAAATCATATTAAGAAATCATTTTAGTCAATATCTAAATGACATTTGAAAACAGTACGTTTATTATCAACTAGATGTTTCCGACGGATGAAACTGCGCTTTATCGATTATTTCCCGTTCGCATGATATTTAAAACTTGTTTCTTAGAGAACATTTTACAATAAATCTAAGCGATTCGATATATAGGTAATATATCGAATCGCTTTCTATACTGTAGGATTATCGTCGTATATTGATAATCGGTCAGGACAAACGACTTTATATGTGTAGATATATAATAGGTTGACTAATACAGTTTTGATTAACACTGGATTTGTTGTGATATCACTACGGAGGTTATAAGCAATTAACAATAACTAACATTTTAATGTCACGTACCTCCTCGTAGTCTCTGTGAGAGTGTGGTTGCGCAGGCGCAGAGGTTGCCGGCGCTCATTCTCGTGAACGGCGCGGACGTCCTACTTTGCCCTTGCGTACTGGCGCCACAGGGCCCGTTGACGCATTTGCACTCTTCATTAGCTTCTGCCAGTCCTGTTCACATACTAGTGACCCCGTGAGCATATAATACCTGTTGAAAAATACTTTTATAAGAGCAGGTATGGAAGAATAAAATGAAACGGTTAATATTGAACGAATATAGTTAGCAACCAAAAACGAAGATATATTAACTACTGTTTACTCGCTCTTCAGTTTATCCGTAATCGTAGTGATGAAAGTTAAACTATCGCCTGTAGTCATGAACAGCAACACGGATATGATCATTTCATTGTGTTACGCCCCTACCTAATAAATAGGCTGTTTGGCGGCTGAAATAGGTGAAACGGAGATACCCAACCTCACAGATGCTATTTTACAAAAAAAAAAGTCATCTGAACTTAAGATATCAGACAGAAGCTCTTATGAAGAAAAATGTATACAGGCAACAAGTTGCGGCACTTGTTCTTTAGTCCTTGATATTCCATATTACATTCTATATATGTAAACAAAGACAGCTTTTCGATAAAATAGCACAAGAAGCAAACATTGTATTGAAATGAAGTAACTTCATCAAGTTGGTGCTTATTATCACGGTAAGTGACTTAATGTGTACGTACAAAGATAATTTGCAGCTCCAATTAAAACTCCACAATGATTTAGAGTTTGCGCTGATAATTAGTTGTATAAGATTTATATCATTGATGTAGAACATTACATTCAATTTCAACGTGGATTTATTTCTGTAATGTTGTACTACAAGTACAGTAGTGTTATTTTAAACTCGTATAGAAATACCTGTACTATAGATATTTTATCATAGGATATTGTGCACAGGTATTATTGAAGAATATTTATTAATGTTCAATTGTTTTTATCATATTTAAGACATTTTAGTATATTTTTCATCACACAATACATCAACACATTATATTACACATTATACATCACTATTATTTACAGTATGAAACTAAACAAAATAATAGAAAATTGTAATCTTAGAATATATTAAACATTAATGTTCTTGTAATTAACAAAAAAAAAACAAGATTCAATATGTAATGACGGCATAAATAATTACATACAATTACTGCTATGTAATTAAAATTAATTTCTAAATATTACCACTGCATAGGTATAAGATTACATGTTAAATATTTTTTTGATAGGAGGTGAAGTAATATCGATACTTTATGAATTGATGTTCATACCAGTTTGTACTCATTATTCAAAGATATCAATTGAAAGTCATGTAATGTAACACTAGATACATTGTGTAATAGTGTTGAAATTGAACTCCTATTCAGATTTGCATAACAAATGCAATCGCATAGAGAGTAGTAAAGGTTAATTATGTCTATGAAGATTATAGTAATCGGTACATCAGTATAATAAGTATAAATAATCGAATGAAAAATATATGATCATTTAACTTTCGAGAGACTTCTAGACACAAGTACAATATCTTTAATCTCAATAAATTGTTGGTAAAATTGACATTGTTCAAAAAATGATATTATATTAATTAGACATGTATTGATAAAGAGGGTGTCCTTATATAACATCATTGGTAGTAGGGGTTTAGCCTTACTTCCGATGATCGCGGGTTTGATTCCTCGCACAGCATTGGTCTCGGTTTTTATAATTATGCTACAAATGTTAAACAAAAAGAAAAAGGATTTTAAGAATTTATATCAGTGGCTTAGCTTCAGGCTAGATGGGGCTGTGAGAATTGTTTTGAGTTATTAAAATTATTTTATTTATTAGTGACATTTTACGTTTCCTATTTTAACGGTTATAACAAATTTATATTATTTCTGTATCTAATTAGGATTATTAAAGTTCAATGTTTTGTTGTAAAATTTTTGTTTAAACTTAATAAATTTATTAAGTTTTATTTAATGTACTTCGCCTGTATTATGTTTCATTTCGAATATACTATCACGTTTTTTATTTTTTACGTCAGACTACGATCATAAATGTTGTCCCAGTTTAAAAGTAGTCAAAATATTTAAGTATATTTTACACACCTATCGCCCGGCATAAGGTTCGATCCACATTTGGAGCAGGCGAAACACTTTATGTGGAAGACGTTTAGTGGTTGCTGTGGTGCATTGGTTCGCATTACGAACTCGCTCGCAGGTATCGCTTGCCCACACGCTGCGCACGCGCCGCCTGTGCCGAACATTCTGAAAAAAAAAATACACAAAGTCAAATTGGAACTAATCAAAATAACGTAACGTGATTTAAAAATTTAATGGGAATACTGTCGTATAAGGATGACTATGTTTTAATGAGACAGTATAAGAATGCAGGTTCTGAGGGAGAGCTAGACTGACCTATAAAATCGGATGGAGTATACGAATACCTACTCTCTTAAAAAGTCAGAGTTTCAACCCAAAACTGGCATCTATGAATATGAATAGCTATAATAGTGTAAGAAGCAATACTGCATTTGAAATTGTATTCAAATGCAGTTTCTCTGAAAATCACGGAAGGTAACCTCGCGCGGATTGTTTTTTCATAAGCTCTTTACTATAATAATTTTAATAATTACATGCACGATTCCGTCAATAATAATAGTTCTGTACCACATGTAGTACAGTGATTGCCGCTACACGCCTTCATCAATTTGTCACATGTGCCAAATAGAGGGAACATTTGGAAGAGCAAAAAAAACCATTAGTCATCAATATGTTTCAAATTTAGATTCGTAATAAATTATTGTAAATGTATAGATAACATTGTTGCCACTAAAGTGGAGTCCCTATTAATTCGTACAAATTCAGAGATTCTGGAGATATGCAATAGGTATAGTTCAATTGAACAGCGAAATAGACGACAAGTTATAACGAGCCAGTTTCAATCCGTTTAATGGTATGATTACTGCTCGTTAACTTATAATAAATGGATAATACAACGAGGTAATGACACCTGCTATAAATCAACTAATGTATATTAGATATACCGACATCTGATTTTATGACATTGGATAATGTTTTATTATTATACCCTAATGTCGATCTTAAATCATAATTTACATAAAGTTTCTTTTCAATTTTGTTAACGAACGACACGACTTCTTTTATATACAATTTGGTATTACATTCCGATTAGCACAATTGTTATAGGGCACTGGATGTAAAGATTTTTATTCTTTTGTTACTACACTATATTTATATCATTATTAAACATGACATAAACATTTTAAAGTTACATTCCAGTGAAAAGTCAAATTTAAATTAGAAATATACATAATAATTAAATTTGTCGCATATGTAGATTAGAAAAGAAATATTTATATTTGTTACACAAAGTTTTGTTTAATACTTCATAAGTCATTATGATAATCTCAATAATAGGTCGCGGACGAGGCGGCTTTATTTAACAAGTTGAATATTAATAAATCGCAGTAACAATCCGGTGGAAAGCAATCAAAATTTAATTACCTGCGCATCTTTGCATTATACGTTTACAAATAATTTAATACTGAACGATTTAAAGATAAATTTGAAAGTCTTAAAAGATAAATTCGCTTCAATCACTCGGAGCAAATAGGATTTCGTTTCATTTACTCCGGTGAGAGCGTTTTCAATTAAGGAGCGCCCGACAAACAGTATCGGCGTATGAAGGTAAAATTAATTAAACCGAGCCAAGACAAACATGTACGAATCTATTTGTGTTGGACGCACGCGGAAACGATATAACATACACCCTAATAGAATACAGATAAACATATAAAAATGCTAATTCACAGGAACCGTGGAACATTTTAAATAGTGCTTGCTTATTTGTTCAATATTCACATCGTAAAAATTCATACTTGTACGTATTTATTTACAATAGTATTTATGAATTTAAATAGATCTCAAGTGATAACATTTGGTTCAGGGCATACGGCTTGACGTGATTAACCAGATCGCTAGCAGTATTTGAAATATTCGCCTGCAGATTTTACCCACCAACCTCATGGAATTTAGTGGTTGACCCTAGTCATTTCAATTTAACTAGGAACTCAACGTCATAAAAATAATGTCGCTATTGAGCTATAGTTATTACTATTTACATTTAAAACAATGTGATCGCCGCGTTTGTCTGTATATTAGGGATAATCACAAAAACTACTAAACGGATTTACGAGTAGTTTCAATCCATCAATAGTCTTTTTAAAAAAGTTTAGGTGTATAATTCGTTAAGGTTTTGTTTAAATTAATGTGAAATACCAGTGAAAAACTGGAATAGATACTAGAATGTAGTAACATAACTTCACGAGTGTTACCCTAGATAATGTAGTTAGGTTGTTTATAACTTTGGCGAACACCGAATAATTCGAAGATTTTTATGTCCGTTAGATTTGAACTCATAACCTTTATGTTTAAGTCTACAATGCTCTAAATAATGTTTAATATTCTTTATTTGTGCAATAATTCCACAGTATTTTCTGTTCTATATGTTTCTGTCTCAGAGAGACCTTATATCCATAAATTACATAGGCACTTAGTAGATTAGATGAATTTAATAATTTTGTTTTATCCTTGTACATTTAGTGAATAATTGAGCAACTTTCCGACTCGCAATCGAAGTTGCCTATCTCTTGAACTATTAGTACATCAACAGAACAAATAACGATCGCGTTAATTAACGTTATTAACGTTCCGGTTCCGAGACGAGTTTCTTAATCATGTTTAGATTACCGAATGGACTATTAATTAGGATGTAAGGATGTAAGACATTAACACACGTGTCCTCATATTTATTCGACCGTAAATTCTGTACCTTTAATCAACTTTCGAAGGGTTAAGCTTTCTAACTGATAAAACAGAAATGTTGGTTATCTTTGTAGAGAGATGAGATTTTATTTGTATGTAGTCTTTAAGAATTTCTAATCGGGAACAACTTTTAGGTTTCCTTTCACGATATTAATTAACGGGCGTGTATTTAGCACGAGTTTAATATATGGGGAAGTTTGGCGCCTGTCTCGTGCAAGTAGGTACCAGTCGAAGTTTATTTGCCTTCGTTACGTGTAAAATTGAATACGTCGCCGTGAATCCTCATTAATTTAAGATGAAGCCTGTATCTTGACATGTTATTTTATTCATTAAGGGAACGTCTTGAATCGCACGGTTGTGTACGTGTCGAGTTTGGATTGTTGTAAGAAAATAATTTAAAACCCCTCGACGAGGTCATTATATCGAGGGGTGGGGAACAGAAGAAGGGTTGTAGGTAGGTAGATGTATTCTCAGCAATAATCTGAATAATATTTTTAAACTCAAACTTTGAAGTTTGAGTTGTTTGACAAGAGAATTACCAGAAAATATTTTAGTGTAATATAAGTTTTTTACGGTAATATGTTGTGGTGATCTATGTTCAGCACTGGACGGTGTAGATGATGATTTGTTGATTAAATTAAAATCAGACTTTACTAACAGTTAATAATTATATGGTATATTAGATTAAACAGACAAATTCAATCATTTACGAGTACACATGTTGAATACAAGCGTAAAGAAATTAATTACATGATGTCATGGTAACCTATATGAATCCAATTATTTATATATCTAGTTAACTATTTAACAGTAAATGTTCAAACTAGGCCAGTTTAACCATTTATAGAATTGGGATGAGGGAATTGATCAAATTATTACACCATAGATTTACAATTTCAATAATATAATAAATAATATTAAGCAACTACTAGAACGCCATATAAGAGCAAACAAAATAGTCTAATCTATATATATATATATATTATGCGAGGATCGAATCTATGATCATTGCGAAATACGAGCCACTGTGCTAAATTAGTACAGTACTAATCATTAGCGAGGACTTAATAGTACTGTACTGATTTATTTTCCATTTATAGATCTAATAAAAATGTTACATAAAGAAAGAATATCAGTAAATGTAATAAGTGGTCCGAGGTGAGAAGCTATTGGGTGGGGGCGATCGAGTGCCAGAGACCCCCAGTAATGTCGAGATGCGGCTCGGTCGGGATATTTAACTTGTTGCTTCGCAAACTCGATTTGGCGCAGACATAAGAACCCGTAGACGTTCTATAAATTCATCTCTCAGATTTGTTACAATTTTGTCCCGTGTTATAAAAATAGAAATGATCAATAAATATTTTTACAATTTCACAAAACAAACAGATTTCAATTATGAAATTTCTGTACCTACTCGTCAGCAATGCCTACTTGATTATAAAAAAATAATTAAATATGTAAATAAAATTGATACAAAATTTGTAAATACTATTACTAATAAAATAATAATCTCAGGACAATTCACACAGCGTCATCTAGACTCAAGTTAAGCTAGTTAAATATTGTGTTATGGGTAGTAAATAACTGATAAAAATACATAAATATAGTTTTTTATTCGTATAATTTAATTCGTCGTACACACATATTATACATAGAAAACACCCAGAATAACACAAACAATCATATTCATTAATATAAATGTTTGTGCCGTGTGTAGAGTCCGCGACCAACGGAAGTACCATCGGCGGTGTGTTAAACCGCTACCACCTAGGCCGTCGAATATCAAAATATGAAAAATCGGAAGGTTTTAAATAATGTTATCAATAACCTGTTACATAAGTAATATTTATAATTGTTAATTTGTGTTTGAATGTTTTTACTGAGTCGCTAGTTTAGATAGATGAGAAATTAGTGCAGTATAAAAATATTATACTTAGATCTTCAGAAATAGTCCATGTGCAGCATGGTCACCACAATATGTTTTGTGGCATGCGCATTGTTGGTTATATTTTCTTTACGTCAGGTGAGCCGCTGTTATTTTTTCCATTCTAGTCAGAAAAAATATACCATCAATCAATCAATCAATCCAAAATCCGTGCACTCTTATTTTCAATCTTTGGACACAATTTTAATTAATGTAGATACTTAATAGACTTAAAAAAAAACGTTTCAGGTAAAAGTGGAATTGGAAAGCAAAACATACTTAAAGACGACAGCTAACGTCGCAATTATTAGCAAGGAATTAATATTTTATTTATTTCTCTCTACATCTTCAATTAATAGAAAATAAGAAAATATTGACTTTGTATTTATTATGAGTCGTCTGAAGACTCGCAATATCTGTAATTTACAAAATAGATCTTTACAGGCGACTAACTATATGCTGCTGTGTTGTTCACATGAAATTCGGTAATCCAAGT